CAGATTATACTCATACAAAATTTAAATATGTATAGGGTGTTTTTTTTTCATGAACACACTAAAATACAATTTAGAACACTACATTTTATTATTCATTACAGTGTATACTTTCTCAGTTTTCGGAGTCACACATTATTGAACTTTGGATTAAATGATTTTCACTCTTAATGTCAAATGCAATATATCATAGCTGAAAACAGTGAATTCCTTGTGATGGTTTTATAGACCAACACTACATTCAATGTCCACAAACTTGTTCAAAAAAATATTTCATGGGTGCACTTAAAGGGACACTGTCAATGGCACGCATGCGCAAGTAAACTTGAACACACTAGGCTAGTGTTTTCAAGTTGATGACTCCAAGTTGGCGCGACATAAATCAGCTCGTAAACATAAACAGATCTAGAATATTCCAAAGTATGTCAAAAGCACCACAAAATGATTTACTTCGAAGGTAATACTTTCAAAGTCCGTTAGAGGTGAGACTGTTACTGCGCATGTCATCCATTGACAGTGTCCCTTTAAGGTAAATTTATCTGGAGTTCTTGTCTGAATTCAATCGCAGGCAGTGAAGATATCACTTTTTTGCATGGTATATTACCTAACGTTTCATGTTTATCCTAAAAATGTTGCAGTAAAATACATGTCAACAACATCATTTTTCTTCAACACTTTATTTTTATGCCCGAGAAGGCATTCTAAATCTAACTTCATTACATATATAAATTGTTTTTGAAAAACTGGTATATGATATAACAACATCCATTCAAATGATGCATGCGAAAACAGTCCAGCAACATGCAATACTGTCTGAAATAATCTGAATACAATAATCTTTCAAATATGAAACTATAAAGACAACTTTGTACAACTATATATAGAAAAGCTTGCAATGTTTGTTTGTGCTAAATGCGATAAGTCCAAAGTACACACTAAACAGCCTTCATTGGAGGCGGTGCCTGTTGCATGTACGGTGGAGGATATCCTTGCATTGGAGGTTGCATTGGCGGTGGTCCTGGGTTGTAAGCGTTTGTCGTAGTACTTGTAGTTGTCACACCAAACTGTTGGTAGGGTTGAGTCACTATCACACGTCCTGGTCTGTATGTTTGGCAGCAAGCACAGCAACAGCAAGCAATAATCGTGATGATGACGGCAATGAAGACGATAATCCCGATCACAATGGCGGCGATGATCCCACCAGCAAGTCTGACTACAGGACAAGTTTCATTTTGAGAATAACACTGGTTGTCTTCACAACAATGTGCCCCCGCTGAATAGAAAAGACAGTCGTTGTCGAAAGTGCAAGATTCTGCGAGGCTGGTTTTGATAATAGCGAGGAGAACGACAGCAGAAATTATTAAAAACTTGGCCATCTTGTTACAATTCCTCGCCTTACTTCCTTAACGCGTTTCCTTTGGCTTCAGCTCAAGTTCGCATGGAATGTTATCATGTGACGAGTCACATGGGCTTGCGGTTTTCTAAACAGGCATCCCAAGTTATGAGGGAACGCAAATTTATCATTATCAGATTATCATCATTATTATTTTTCGACAGACCTTTATTTGGCGATGATTTCTTAAAATCGGATTGACTTTCGGGGCGTCTGAAGACTTTTATTTCCTTCAGGGTCTTCGTTTCCAAGTCAGAACAAAACCTTACAAGTTTAGCAAATGGACACGGAAGTAACTTGTAATTTTAATACCGCTTGTGCATATTCTTAGTATTCTTGATGTATTTTACTAAAAGTAATATTTCGTTACGACTCAGTGGTGTATTTTTGGCGTTTACGATATTTTTTCTAATTTCTTAGCTTTTCAAGGATTGGCTCATCAGTTGGATTTCTAGAAGATCCATTAACCCAAAATGACTAAATACGACCAAAATAATCATGGGTTTACCAAAGAACAACTTAAACATGTTGGTCTGAATTATACAACTGAGAAATGGAGTCGAGCGCTAATAACGAAATTCGGGAACGACTGAGAAATCGTCTTTTACAGCGAATCCAAAAGACAGGGAAGGCAACAGGTAGGAGCGATTTGATCAACCACCCGTCGTCCCAAGCCGAGCAAAGACAAAACAAACTGCAGACTWATTCCAAAAAGAAGGTAAACACAATTCAACATGAACATTCTGAAAGTGATTTTATTTAGAAACGTAAGCCACCACATACTGCAATTTCAACTGTTTAACCGAAGAGAAAGGCGACTTGCACAACCAAAAGTTCCTCTGTGTATTAAATATTCAGTACCCACAATAACTTTCGGTCGTGCACTTGCCAAACCGTCTCCGAAAACATCTTTTATAGGGCTCAAGATTGGTTAAAATATCCAATTCCCAAGATGACTATCGTGATAAAGAAGTATCAAAGGAAAAAGAAGGAAAGAAAGTAAGCCATAACACTTTCTCAAATGTATCTTTCTCTTTGTGTCTTATTTGTTCATCATTTTTTATTTCCTTTTCAGTAAGTTGTGCGCTTTTTCTTTGTTTCTTTTTATCACTGATGATCGATAGTACTATCTTTTAGTTATTTGTCCCTAATCCCCTGCTTTTCCTTACTATTATCTTCCGTAAAACTCCTTTCCTGATATTTTTTGCCTTGCTTCTTTTTATTTATTTGATCTCTTTAAATTCTCCAGATCTTTCTTATTTTTCGAGTCTTCCTTCTTTCTTCACAGCCTTTCTTTCCATGTTGCTTTCTCATTCATTATTTCCTTCTAACAGTTGCTCTCTTGCGACTGTGTCCCTCTATTTGTCACTTTTCTGTATTTCTCATTCCTATAGTGTTGTTATTAACTCTTGTTTAAAAGGAACATCATATGTCCGTCAAAGCAAATGCAACTGCAGCATCCCTTTCGACTGCTATCAAGCATTTGATCAAGAATCACCACAATGAAGCTGATTATAAGGTACGTTTTCATTCACTGTTGTTAAGGTACTGTTTGCATATGTCTTGTTTATCCGTAAGAAGCAGCAGCACTGCAGGATAAGTTGATACAAAAAAAAACAAAAAAAAACAATAATCTGTTATTATGATTTCTATTGTAGGAACTTAGGAAAAGTCAACGCCAGCCCGTTTCTACTGCGAAAAGCTCAGCTCAAAGCAGCAAAAACGACAGTTTCAAGCATGACTCGACCAGAAAATCCGTGAAACATCGCAGAATTACTAGTGAGAAACATGAAAAGGTTAGAATTTAACTATCGTCTATTCAGGCTATTTCTACTAGTAATATTTATGAATAATAAATTTAAATATATGGATATGATGGAATGCGTATTACAACTTACTTGACATGCTAGAAAAAACGAACTCGCACATGCGCCGAATTCAATCAGCAAATGCGGTGACATTAGATTAATTCAGATTGTATTCATCACTTTGAAATTCGACGTTTGAAACAGGTCTAATGCGTTTCTCGTACTAGCTGTGCGGAGGGTTTTGTGCCAGGTGTAATGTTGAGGATATTTTTGGTTTTCTTTGTCTTGCCATGATTCCCGTCATCGATCATGGAGGAATGGCTCTCTTTGTGAGAAAAAACACAAGTGACAGCTTGGTTTTGAGCAAGTGGTGAATCTGGATTCTCTTTGTTATACAAAGCTAAAGTACAGACGTATACCAGTCGAAGTCACATTGCATATCACTCCATACTCTAGATCATTGACTTCGGTACATGTGATATTTGGCGTTTGAAATGTGTTTTAAACAGCTCAGCTCGATTTACGACTTTTTGATTTGTTGACTTCATTAATTAATTGACCAGTAAATTCACCAAAACCGAGAACTAGTGCGTCCAGCCGGCTCATTAGATCACTATATTTGTAGTCTACTCAGACATTACGTAAACATTGGCTGCGGCTGCGCCAATATTAATTGTGTTGGTTGAGGTTTAATATAAAATTCTGAGCAGAAAGTGAGTGACATTATTGTGAACAGTGAGGTTTTGTTTAGAGAATTGAACTAAACTTAATCATGATGTAGACAATTTGAATGCTGCGGTTATTGTTGTCTACTGCATTAAACTATTGATTTATTTTTTTACCTCCTAATCCAACTACAGATGATACAAATATCACGCGTTTTATACTTGTAAATATTTTATTAGTTTTATAAGGTTCTGCTAAATGTTCCCTAAAAGGAACCATTATTTTTACAACCTTTTGTTATATAAATATCTCTCTCGATAATACCAAGATATTGACAGTTAATGGTTTTGCAAAATTCTAAAAATATTTCGTTGAATTTCTAAATACGGTGAGGTGAGGTAGAACCCAGACCCCCTTGGTATAACGGCCCGGCGTGACTTGTCAATGTTGTCAAATACATTCGCGATCAAGAAAAAGCTGGGTTGGTAATTCTAAAAACAAGCATACGACCTCTAGCATTTTGTGGTCAAGACTGGTAAAACACTGTACAATCTAAATACAATAGAAACGGTTTCATTAGCATGCACATCTCTTAGTAAAGAAAGGCGTCGAAGAAATCGGCCCATTGTTATTCATAAAGCGGCTTGCTGTGCTTTCTAAACGACAAAACATTCCCACTGACTCGCTCACTCACGGCAACATTTGCCACTGGAACAAAGTCAAGACGCACAGGTTGTGACTGAAATGGTGTAAGTGGCATGCAATTAAGTGGTGAAATTCTTGCGTTGAATTTCGTATTATTCTTTGGTTTCACGGAATAAACGGATTCCCTGACATAACAACAAGAAGAACTCCCCCGCGCTCGTCGAAAAATGAAGGTAACTTCAACTTTTATATTTATACTTTCGCTCTTATAAGCCCTAAAATAATCTTTTTCGCTGGTCCTTCGATGTAAACGAGCACTTTCGAGAAAAAACGGATCTTTAACAACAGAAGAATAATTTTCTAAATTTGCTTTCACCGCCCTAAACTCGAGAATAGGTTAAGTAAAAAAAATCGACTCGGTTATTTTAGCGGAAGAACTGTTGCTCCCTTATGTATAACACACTTTGAAATCAGCGGAATACCTAAGCAAATCAAATATCTAAATGTTAACTTTTTGAGCTTTGTCGTTATTACTGGTTATTCGTCTCTTAGAAACCATGGCCCGATCCCCATTGATGTTCCTCGTATTATTATGAAAATAATCGTGGATTCAACATAGTAAGTAGGCTGTGTTCTTTTAAGAAAAATCCAAACAAAACCCAATCGGTTTGCAAATTGCATGTGTGTCTGTTTGAATAGGAAATTGTCCAAAATTCAATTCTCAATATTCGTCTCATGAATTAAACAGCAACGCGTTATTTTTCACTAAAATTACTAATGTCGGTCGTCAGTTCGTGAAAAAATATTGAAATTATGTAGTATGAGATTTCTTTAAAACGGATTTTTGTTTGATTTTCGTTAAAAAATACTGAGGGTAATTTTTCGGCAGTAACGGTCGTTTCTAGGTATTATCAAACTCGATTTTATGTTAGAAATCCTATTGGTGAATTTCATTAAGGCTTTTGACTACAATTATTTTTCTTGCGCTTCGACAATTTGAAACTATTACTTCCATTGCACCTGCTTCAGTAGAAATGGAAGCTGGCAAAATTATTCAATACAGAAAGTTTTTTTATTATAAGAACAGTTTATCGATGTGTACATTTCATTGCATGATGGTTGATTTCTCCCCGTTTATTTGCTCGCTTCTCATTTCTTTCTTCGCTAATGGACTTTCCTGTCACTATACACTGTGTCATCGCATACATATGCAAAAGTACTTCTACAAAAGGACGGGACAGCTGCTATTGCCTCGTTTTGATTCTTAGTTCTCTATTATTTATGGTCAAGAATTGTGTGATCAAAACGCTTCCTGTATTTGTCGAAATTATGTTGGTTCTAAAATGGTTTCTTGTGTAGTGCATCGATAAAATCGTTGATATTTGATATCTATCGATGGAAAAACGATAGACACTGTTTTAGTGAACCCTTATAGAACGTAGTTTTACATAATAATCGCTTTTTGTTTTTAGTAAAATAAATAAAGTAACATAAATGTGCTTTCGAAAGTGATTCAATTTTGTGTATATTTTGAAAGAAAAACATGTAATGAAAATTAATGAAAACTTCTTGGCTGTTTTTCAAAAATACGTCTGTCTGATTCTTTTTTAATTTTTGAAGTTCGAATTAAGAAAAATAATAATAATAATAAATCTTCGGAAGTAGACTTGAAAACGAATACTGCGTTAGTTTGGAAGGTTCTCGTTGACTTGACTATAGACCAGGATAATTAATAATTAAGATAGTGAACCTCCGATGAATAGGTAAGTCGATTTAATCGATCCTCAGCCAACCAGTACTCTCTCTTAAGAGACAACCCCCTACCCCGTTAAGATAAACCCAAAGAGCCAATTTAGCCTGTCTTGATTAAGCTTTTACTTGACTGTTATGGAAGCGAGGGGCTCATGTTTACAGTGTGTTACAATCTGGGATGTTACTTTTGATTTCAAGGTGAAGATAGCATGTTGAAGCGTTAATTGCAAGAGCTCTGTGGTATATAACCATCATGTGGAGGATCACAACCACCAGAAAGCTCGCCGAATTTGTAAGTGTTTATGGATGGATCTATAGCTGTAGTTTTGACCTGACTGCTATGTCCTTCGGCTACTTTCGGGTCAGCAGACTTGCTGAATGAAGCGCGAAAATCGTAACGATGACACTTACTTAGTAGTGCCAGTTTTTTATTCTAGTTATGAATCAATTATTATGATTCAAGCGGAATTCAGCACTGCTTCATCAAGTATATTCATGCAAGAACGTATTCCCATTCGTTCTCAGCTTGGCAATCACATACAATGCTTAGATCAATCCGTGCTATTTTTGCACACCTATTCGTATTTATAGCTGCAGCATTCCAAGACGAAGTCGTCCCAAACTTTGTAATTCCAATTCCGCACTGCGTTAGTTAATAAAAAACAAGCCGCTACATTGTTTTGGGCGTTTCCGTTTATTTCTGTAAAATTAACCTCCGCTTAAAACAACAAAAATTATAGAATAAGAGGATATATGAAATACACGTTTAAAAAAGCAGTAATGAGGCTAAAAGAAGCAAAATGATTGAATTTTATACCATTATGGAGTCAAACATATTGACTCCTAAGGGTTCTGTAATACATAGCTAGCTGCGGTTACGGCCCGGGTCTGATAATTTTGACTACTATGGGAAAAGTTTTGACAACTTTATGTACATGACTTTCACTAAATTTCCAGTTTCGGACCAATCCAGATGTCACCATCATGTCTTTTATACAGGGACCCGATACATGTCTAATTGATTCTTCAATAAAGTTTTTTCTAGTATGGAAATATAAGAAATAAACGCAATGGAGTATATTTGGGTATCAAGGACCAAATTTGAATGACAATGAGACAGGGTTAGAATTGCTTTGTTTTAGTCAGCCAATCACTGGACGCACAGGTGCAATGTCAATATCGGTCATATTTGAAGGCAGTATTTATAGCTGTGTTCAGTCACGGACGACTTATAACATACAAAGTATTTCCCGAGCACCTGCAACGGTCCAAGTAGTTTTCGTATATGCAATTTTCGAAGCTAACCTGAAATTAAACGGGACTTCCTTCTTTTTTTTAACTGACTCGTGCCTTGACTAAAAACTCGTTACCTCTCGCAAAGATAAAACACATTTGCATTAGATCAAGAAATATAAGGAAACATGTCAGTGTACGTACCGAACCAATATTGCACTGGTCAGTGGTCTTTTCATTTGACCATGCGTAAGTCAAACAAACCTATAACCACGCTAAAATGGCCGAATTTTTTGTTCAAATTCGTACGATAAAATAGGCGAAGAACGTATCAAATGATCATAGCACAATCATGTCTAGCTTTTAGCTGTGAGCAGTTATTTAAGACTGTTTTGATGTCCCCTCCCTCGGACCAATAGTGCATAATTGATTAGCAGTAATTTCCTGTACATATTCAGTCTTTAAGTTGTTTACTTGGGAATTCCAGACGAGCTATCGATTTTCAATTTTATTCAAACAGAACAATTTCATGCAGTGTTTTGACAGTTTTGCTGCTATTTATTCGCGTTCAATTTAGTTCACACTGTTATCCAAAATGCATGGAATTCAACCACATTTTAACCGCTGATAGATTTTTGTGATTGCGATTATTGTGTGAAGGCTCAGAACTGTAGATTTAATCAACTAACTAG